AGTGCGCATGGCGGAGCAGATGTGTGCTGACGGCGGCGATGTTGCCGCAACGGCGTCGGGGATCCTGGAAGCGGACAAACGAGAAGGGTCGAAAAAAGGTTCGAATTGTGTCGAAGAGTCCAGTGTACTTGTATGGCATGCGCCCGCTAGACGCTCCTGGTGCGCCCGACTTGGCACACTTATCGTTGTGTGAGTTCTTGCGATATTGGCGCATCGAGTTGGCTGCATTTCCCCGTAGCGGCGCCGAGATACCAGCTGCGGCTAGCAACGAGTACCAGGCTGAACTGACGCATTCCGGAATGCAGAAGGTTCGCGAGGCTGATCAGGAGAGAACGAACTCCGACGCAGGCGGGGCGCGGCCGGGAGCCCAGCTCACAGCCGGAGTGGACTATGTCATTAAGGACGCATGCGGCAGTTATTCCTGGGTGCCGTTTCCGGATATTCCAGAGCTAGAATCCTTGAGGCACACGTGGGTGTTGGTGCGGAACGAGCGCCCGAGGAACCCAAGTTTTCATGGGGCGCCGCAGCCGAGACACGGTGCGGGGGAGGAGGACAGGAACGGGCTGTTGTTGATGGTATATTTCAGGGCGTTCACACTTCTTGACGATGTCGAATGTGGAGTACCGCACCTGCGGAATTTCCGCGGAGCGCTAGGGTCGTGGGCGGAGGCGTCGTTAGAATGGGTAAAGAACGGCATGCCATGTGAAGAAACGAAGAGGTACGTGCAGAACTACATGGGCGTGGTGGACTTGCGACCAGTTACGGAGGACGATCTCGTGAAGCACGAGGACGAGCTGTACAGCGACGAAGAGCTGGATCCGAGAATTGTCGGCGCGGCGACGAGACGGAAGACGCACGTGGGTGGTGCGTCCATGGAAAGAGAGGACAAGCGGACGAATGTCGATGCAGAGTGCGAGAAGCAGAAAAGCCGAGGGGCCATGGCCAGGGGCGACGCCGTGTGGGGCGCGAGCACCGTTCGGAAGAGCGGAAAGCGAAAGCAGCGCGAAGGGGGTGGTGCGTTGAGGTGGGGTGACGCGGCAGTGCACGGGGCGCACGCGGCGGCCGCGGCGTCAAGAGCCGCAGAAGGAAGCGGCGCGGGTGAAACGAAAGGTGGCCCGGATGTGGTGGCGTCGAGGAAAGCCTCGGCGTCTAGTGTGCGGAAGTGGAGGAATGGGCTGGCGGAGAGCGGGTTGAACGCGGGGCAGTGTAGCGTCGTTGAGAAGGTGGCAGATCGGGTGCTGGCGCAGGAGTTTCCGATCGGTGCGAAAAAAGCCCAGAGTCGTTCCGATGCGCAGCCCCTCGTGTGGATGTTGCATGGTGGACCAGGGACCGGAAAGAGTTTTGTGATAGACAAGATCCGGAAGGAACTGTTCGAAAAGGAGATGGGGTGGACACGCAGCATAGATTTCCAGGTCGCAGCTTTGCAGGCTACAAACGCGTCAGCTCTGGACGGGAATACAATTCACAGTGCATTTGGGATCGGCGTGCACAAGACGAAGGAGCCGAATGCGGGGGGCGATGGGAGTGCGGAGTCGAAAAAGAAGACGAAGAAAGAGATGGCCGCGCAGCGGATGTCGCAGTGGAAGTGGTTGATAGTGGACGAGGTGAGCATGGTCAGCGCGAACTTCCTGGCAGAGCTGGATTCGCAGTTGCGGTCGTGCATGTCAGCAGCAAGTGGCACGAAGGTAGATGGGGGCGGCGCGCCCAGGGCTTTCGGAGGCTTGAATGCGTTGTTCTGCTGGGACTTCTACCAGTTGGAGCCGCCGTCGGGGATAGCCATTAATGCGCTTCCGACGTCGCACTTGAAGAACGCAAGGAAATACGCGCCGGGTGCCACGGAGGACCACGGACAGTATATTTTTTGGGGCGCTGGTGGCGAAGGCGCAGTGCAGGGAATGACTGAGTTGACGGAGTGCAAGCGAGTGGAGGGCCAGGACGATTGGTTCCTTGGAGTGCAGGACGAGTTTCGCCGAGGCAACTTGTCTGAACGCACGCGCAATTTCTTGCATGGCAGACCGACGGATGTGCCGGGGTCGTGGGTGAACGGCGCACCGTTGTGCGGGAACGCGCGCTGTCTCGAATGCAAAGAGGCCATTGCACAGCAAAACGAGCTCGAATGTGAGGCTTGCAAAGTTGAGCGACAGAAGAGGAAGCTCGTCGCGTCGTCGCCCGAAGACGCGCGGTTTCGGGAGGAACAGTTCCTTGAAGCGGTCGCTATTTATGCGAATCAGGACATTCGTTGCCACGTCGGAAAGCAGAGAGCCGTGCAGTGGGCCAAGGAGCGAGGAGAACAGCTGCTCTGGGTCGCAGCCAGGGACCGCCCTTGCCATGGGGGGGAACAGAGGCGCCCGTACACGGTGGATGATAAGATACGTTGGCTGGGGTACCACGAGAAGGAGTGCGCAAGCTTGCCCGGGTGGCTGCCGCTGGCCAAGGGGATGCCCGTGGCTTTGGGGGACCGCTTGGATCGGTCAAAGAAGCAACTTTTGACGGGGCGCGCAGCGACGATCCATGGATGGGCGTTGCACGAGGACGAGGTCGTGGGAGATGAAGACGAGGAAGTGTTGTTGCATCTACCGACAGTGATTTTGTGTTGGATGTCCATACGAAGGAGTGGCACCTGCCCGGGTGGGAGCCGGGGCTGTATCCGATCTTCCCGTCGAAAGGGCGGCAATGGTTCTTGGATGGGTATCGGAAGCACCCTGTGTTGAGTGTGAAACGTACCCAGTTTATGATAACCTCGGCTCTTGCAGCAACGGCGCACTCTGCACAGGGCCGGACCATGGGAGCAGTAATAGCGGACCTTGAAAGAGGGCGCGGCGTGAGTTGGATGTCAAGTTACGTCGCCATCACGCGCGTGCGCAGGCGGGAGAACCTGCTGATCTTCCGGCCTTTTGACAGGAGGCCGCACAACGCAGGCGAGATGGCGGGCGCGAAGAAATTATTGCAGGTGCTGCGGGGGGAGACCGTAGATTGGGATGAATGGGAAGCGGAGCTGATGCCGAGAGATCAGTGCGAGCGTTGCCGGCGGAGGTTGCTGGTAGAGGCGTTCTCGAAGTACGAGTTCCAGAGGAAGGAGAGGCCGGCGTTCTGCAAAGAGTGCACGGAAGAGATGAAGAACGCTGACGAGAAATGGTGCACCACGTGCAGAGGGTGGGCCACGAGAGCCGAGAGTGTCGATGCGAGTCGTCGCGGCGGCGACGGGGGGGGGACGAAGAAGATTAGGACCTTGTATTGTGTAAAGTGCAGTGATGTCAAGGCGCAACAGAACTCGCGCGCGGGCAACGCAAAGTGGAGGGAGAGCAAGTTGACAGTGCGATGTTCGAATGCGACGTGTCTGGCGCTGTTTGCTGAGCAGGGCCACGTGTCGGACGCACAGAAGAAGCGCCATGTGGCAGGGACGAGGCTCTGTCGGAAATGCGCGGAGGGGCGAGAGAAGGAGGCGCGGCGGGGGAATGCGGAGGCAGCGAATCGCAAATGGAAAGCCGAGGCGGACGCGAAGCCGCTGACGTGCGCGGCGTGCGGAGAAGCGTTCTCGGACACGAAACATTTAAAGCAGAAGCAAGAGAAACATCATCGAGCGGCGACAGGAACGAAAGTGGCGTGCGGAGGCTGCAAGGAACTCGGGTTCACAGCGCGCAGTTGCCAGGCGTATCAGTGCAGCGGCTCGTGCAAGAGAAGACTACCGAAGTCGGCGTTCTCCGTGAACCCTGCCAACGTAGCGCGCGATGCAAAGAAGGGCACCCTGAAATGCAAGCCTTGCAAATGATGCCCAATCGGGCGCGCGTGCTGGGGAGGAAAAGGGGGGGGGGGGGGGGCAGAGGCGGGGAGTGCAACCCCCTGGATTAAAAAGTCCGGACCGCAGAGGTCGGGGAATAGGCCTACATGTTCGGCTCCCGTTAGGCCACGGGGCCCCGGTACAATGTTGCAGGGGCCGCCATGGGCCGCCATGGCTAAATGTCCGGTCCATCCTCACCGCCTTTCATATTATAATCGCCAAATGGGGTGACGACCGGAAATCCGCATTGCCACCGTGCCTGGGTTGTTGCTATGAGGTTTGCGCGGTGATCGCTGGGATCTCTTGGGGGGCTTCTCGCGGGGCTCTTGGAGGCAGTTTCGGAGCCTCTTGGTGGCCGCTCGGGACCGTTTTAGGCTCTCTTGGGGGCTTTTTGGGGCCTCTTGGGGGCGTCTCGGGGGCCTCTTGAGGCCTCTTGGGGCCTTCTGGGGCCGTCTTGGGGCGGAAGGCTCGGATTGTCGGTTCAAATCTCTTGGGGGGCTTCTCGCGGGACTCTTGGAGGCAGTTTCGAAGCCTCTTGGTGGCCGTTTTGGGACCGTTTTAGGCTCTCTTGGGGGCCTTTTGGGGCCTCTTGGGGGCGTCTCGGGGGCCTCTTGAGGCCTCTTGGGGCCTTCTGGGGCCGTCTTGGGGCGGAAGGCTCGGATTGCCGCTTCAAGCTCCCCCTCTTGGGCCCCTCTTGGGGTCGTCTTGGGGCCTACTTGGGCCGTCCTGGGGGCCTCTTGGGCCGGTTAGGCGCCCTCTTGGGCCGACTTGGGCGGCTCTTGGGGGCCTCTTGGGCCGTCTTGGCGCGGTCTTGGGGTGCTCTTCGACCGTCTTCAACGCCGTGAAAGCCGACAAGTCGTAAATTATCCAAATGTACGGTGTCCTATAGGAATTTGACGATTTTCGGCTCTTCTGCCCTTTTGAGGACTGCTCTTGGGGGTCTCTTGAGCCGTCTTGGAGGCCTCTTGCCTCGTCTTGGGGCCATCTTGGGCGTCTTAGAACGCTCGTTTGGAGTCTCGGGGCCCTCGTGTGCCGTCTTGGAGGCGTCTTGGGGCCTTCTGGGCCCGTCTTAAGCCTCTTTTGGGCCCCAAAGAGCCCCGTGATGCGCTCGTGGTCGGCCCGGGAGGGGGGGTCGAATCTCCGGTTTTTGGTCCCAGGGGGGGGTCGGGGGGGGGAACTCTCTCACACGCCTAGAGACCCACAAGGGGTCGGCGGATTTGAGTGCCATGGGAATCAGAATCTCAAAACGCAACGCTAAGAATATCTTTGATCACTTGGATGTGAACTCCAGTGATCGTGCCAGCACGGGCGGGACACTCAGAAGTTCTCCGTCGATGCGCAAGATGAAGGACGCGGCAAAATCTATCCTGGAGCACCAGATCAGCGTAGACACGTTCATCGATATGGTGTTCGAATCGCATATGGACCGATGCGTGGACAAGTCCGCCGGTGAGGAGTGAGAGAGGCTCGATGCCGTTCGCCATCCTTTGCCTCACCTCTTTCTCCTGCCGTTTCGCCCTTTTCCTCCCCCTCTTCCCCCTACTCTCCACTCTTCCTCTCGGCCTTACTTGCACTTTCCGATCTCGACCGAGTGAGGTGCGATCCGGATTGGAGTTCATGCTGGGCATTGGCTAATCCGCTGTGCATATAACCTTTGCTTTGGCGCAGCAATTTTGTGCCACTTAGCCTAGCTTGTTTGATCCGTACTGCATGTCAAGCAAGCCGCTGCTGCATTTCCAGCAGCCAGTGCTAGAGCAGCCATGTCTGTTTTTGCGAGATCTTTGCGCCTGCTAGCAACGTAGATGTAGGTTCGGCATCGGTTGGAAATCTTTCGTGCTGTCCTTGCCCCCTCTCCCGTGAGTCTCCCTCGCCCCTGCGTGTCGCGAGAGCCAGTGTCTACGTCACTGCTTCGGGGAGGCCCTCCAGGCAGTATGTTTTGAGAGCAAAGTTCCACCTCTCCATTTGGTCATGAAGGGCATGCGGTGCTTGCACGATTTGATCGGCAGATTTATCTCCTCCACCTTGCGAGGATGTCCTGGCGCAGAGAGCTCGCTGTGATGTTTCGCCGCATGCATCTCCCTCGGCGGCAGAGCTGGCTGCAGACTTTAGGGGTGCCCCTGGCTAGGCACCCCAAGGGTGGGATGGCAGATCGGGGAGGGACTTTGCCGAGCGATTGCTCTTCGACGCCAGGCCAGACGAATGATTCCGCGCCAGGCCAGGCGCGATGATCGATGAAGAAACGACCGCATGAACAGAAACTTTCGGCGGTCCGCGCAGATTTCTTGGGTCTGCGCTGGGGCCCCCCTGGCAGTGCCTCCAGCGCCGCCACTGGCGCGCTCCGCGCGCCAGGGAGGGGTATCCGGCGCTGATCCAAGAAACCCGTGCGGACCGTCACAAGCTTGTGTTGAAGCAGTTCTTGTGTTCCTCTAGATGAAAGAGAATGAGCCGCAGAGCGCCTGGCCTGGCCAGCGCGCGAGCGCGTCTACGGGAGCCTGGACGACAGCGGGCTCTCCGTTCGCGGCGGCGCGATGTGCTGGCTGCGAGCTCCGGCCAGGAAGGCATGGGCTGGAGGGCGCGGGCTCGCGCAGCGCCCAGAGCCGGGGGAGGCCTCGGGAGTCGCGGCGTCCCGCCCTCCACCTTGGCTCGCTGGCAGGGAGGTCGGTTGGGGTGGGTGTGGTGGGGGGATGTGCGGGGGAGGAGGGGGAGGAGGAAAAGGAGGAAAAGGAGGAGGAGGAGGAGGAGGAGGAGGAGGGAGGCGGAGGAGTGAGGAGCGCCCTTCGTCGAGCTGGCTAAGTGTTTTTGTTTTTTGGCGTGGCAGGCACCGCCCCACGTCCTAAACTAGAATGGGATAGATTCGAGGAAAGGCTCGCGCTGACAAAGACGGCCTTCAGGACAGTTTCACGCAGTCGCCGCCCTCTCTTTGATGCCCGTGTGGCACAATCAGCCGCGATCGCATATCGTGTGAATTGTTCAGTTCAGGCCTGACAATGCCTCGACCGGGGTTGCGGGTCTGATTTACGATAGCGGCGAGCTCCGACAGGCTCTTTTTGCCTTCGGCCCTGCGGTCGGATTTGAGGAGCGACCCAAGCACACAACAAGCTCGATCGATCGAGCGATCGATCGAGGCTCGAGCGACCCATCCATCGAACAAGGCTCGATCGAGGATCGATGGAGCTCCGTTCGCAGCGAGCAAGCGACCGAGCCTCGATCGAGCCTCGAACTCTTCGAGCGATCGAGCGATCGAGCGGAGCACCGTGACGATTCTGGCTCGAGCCTCCGCCGGGCGGCTCCTCCCACCTGTTGCTCGGGGGCTGCCGAAGGTGCTCCCTGGCCCCAGGCACCCCCAGAGTCGCGCCGCGCCTGGGAGCCCCTGGGCTTAGTGGGCCCTGGAAACGACAGGGCCGTTTTGTTACCGGTTCCGTTTTCCCGTTTTTTTTTGCCGGTTCCGACGCCGTTTTTTTACCGGTTCCGTCGCCGTTTTGTGACCGGTTCAGGCTCCGGTTCCAATCCTGGAGCCTTTTTGTTGCCGTTTCCGCTCGCCGTTTCTTTACCGCTTCCATGTTCAAGCGACACTTTTTCGGAAACGGTGAAAAAACGGCCATGCCGTTTCCGGGGCCCACTGAGCCCCTGGGGCCCCTTGAGGTAGATGAGGTGAGTGAGGGAGTGAGGGTGATGAGGAGAATGCGAAGAGGGAAGAGGCTTGGGGGCAGGACGAAGAGCAGGAGGAGTAGTAGGAGGAGGAGGAGGAGAATGAGGAGGAGGAGGAGGAGGAGGAGGAGGAAGAGGAGGAGGAGGAAGAGAGAGGCGAGAGGACAGGACGAGGAGTGGGGTAAGGAGGGGGATGGAGGAGGAGGAGGAGAAGGAGGAGGAGGAGGAGGAGAACCAGTGCAAACCCAAGAGTCATCAACGATGTTGGAATAAACCATCCCTCCAAGCTCCCTCTTCACGGGCCCCTAGAAGGGTTCACTTCCACTGAGGGAATTGCCTCGTTGGTAGACAACCGTTTGAAGACCCTGATGCATGCCAAAACCTTGTTCACGGGATTCCAACGCCACGGAACAATCTGATTGTTGCGTCTTTTTGAATCGTGCCACAACGCCATTCTGGGGAATTCAATACCGCAAATCAACGTAATTGTTGCGCCTTGATAATCCCAAATCGTTCCGAAACAATATGCCTGGTACGATGATCATGAGAAGCCGTGAAACTGTTGCAAATGTTTACTACGAGTATGCGCGGCGCTAAGGCGAGAGCCACATTTTTTAAAGAAGCCGTTTTCAATCCGTCAAACTCTTGCAAAATATTGAAATGAATGCGCGCGGCACTAAGGCGAGAGCCACATTTTGAAAACCCGCCCTCAACCCGTGAAACTATTGCAATGTTTTGAACTGAATGTGCGCGGCGCTAAGGCCAGAGCCACATGTTGAAAACCACCCGCCCTCGATGTGTGAAACTCTTGTCGGTTTTGAGCTTCAGGGTCATAAATGTTAGGAAATTTCCAGGGGAAACGCCCAGACCGCATTAAAAACTGGCCTCGGAGTGCGACAGGGAGACAATATTTAGAACGAAAAGGAGTGGAGGAGGAACAGGATGAGGAGGAGAAGGAGGAGGAGGAAGCGGGGCAGGGCCGCCTGAGGGGTCCTCTGGAGGCCGTCTGGGCCTCGTTGGAACTCCTGGGGGCGCTTTGGGCCAGGGGCACTTCTGGCAGCACCCGTGCTGCCCGTCGTGGCTGGCCATGGCCAGCGGCGGCCATGGGCTCACGCCGATGGTGCCGCGCGTGCGCGGCGGCGGCTCCGACGCTGGCGTGCTGCGGTCTCCTCGCGTGCCGCGCGCTGGCGCCGCTCCTGTCGGGGCAGCTGGGGTCGGGGCAGCCGCTCAGCACGCTGGCGTGCTGGCGCGTGGCGGAGAAGCAGGCGGCTTGGGCCTCCCAAGCGGGGTCCGAGCAGATGGGGACGAAGGATCGCTCCGCCTCGCCGATGCATCGACGATGGGGTTCGATGTGGAGCCCGATGCGTTCCGCGCCTGCTCGGACCCCATCCGGGAGGCCTCCAGGTGGAGGCGGGGCGTGCGGTGCCCTCGCACGGCAAGTTCATCGTTGCGGACGGTGAGCAGAGGCTGCAGACGGCGTGGATCGCCTTCCTGGGCGTGATAGGCGCCTTCTACCTGAATCCGCCCATTCGCCCGGAACGCAGCTGGGGCCTCGCGGCCTTCACCCAGGGCGCGCGCGATCCAGAGGGCAGGTTCTGCCGACAGCTGTTGGACTACCGGTGGCTGCACCCCTCTCAGGGTGGCGACTACTTTCCGCAGGTGCGCGCCGACCATGGCGACGTGGCCGCGTGGGTAGAGAGCTGCCGGAGGGAGTACCCCCGCCTGGGCGCGGAGGATCGGACGGGGCCAGGACGGGGATAATTCCGTTCCGGGACGCTCTGAGAAGGCCGCTGCGCTCGAGACATCCTCCAGAGCCGCCGGATCTCAGAGGTTCTCGATTTATCCTCGCCCCATGTTGTCTTCGTCTTGGCTTCGTCTCAGAGGAGGGCCAACTCCTGCAGCCGTGGCGGAGCGCCGGCGCCATCCCCGAGGCCGTGCTGGCGCGGCAGCCGTACGACTACTGGGCCATCGCGGTCGCTGCGCGCAGGGAGGCGCTGCCCGCGTACGCCGCAGCCAGAGTCCCGCGCGAGGAGCTGCTGGCGCACCTGAACGCCAGCGTTAGGTCCTGGGCCTCCCAGATGGGGTCCGAGTAGGTGGTGTCGGAGGATCCCGCCGCATCGCCGATGCATCAGTGGTGCGGCTCGATGTGGAGCCCGATTTTCCGCCGGCGATGCATCGGCGAAGCATCGGCAATGCGGCGCGATCCTCCGACCCCATCTGCGTAGACACCATCTAGGAGGCCTCCACAGGAGGAGGAGGAGGAGGAGGAGGAGGAGGAGGAGGAGGACGAGGAGGAGGAGGAGGAGGAGGTCGACTGCGCGGACGTTCGCGCGCAAGCTTCCCGCGGAAGGGCGCACGCAGGCTTCCTGTGCTCCCCACGCGGTGTGCCACGCTGGCGGCCCGCGCGAGGCCGCGGCGCAAGGCTGCGGTGTCTTCTCGCGCAAGACCCGCCTGTTCTCGTCGCTCAGCTGGCACTTTTTGTCCCATGGCGATGACTTCAGTACTCCTCCTCCTCTTCCTCCTCCTCCTCCTCCTCCTCCTCCTCCTCCTCCTCCTCCTCCTCCTCCTCCTCTAGGGCCGAGGGTCAGAGAGCGCCTTCCTCGCAGGACCATCAAGAAACGGATGTCGAGGTGGTCAACGCGTCGCCGGTTAAGCCGACGAGGATGTGCAAGGTCCAACCATTCGCCCATGTCCAAAGTCCTGGCTTGACGCCTGCTGTGGTGCGATGAATGGCAGCTTGGCCGAACAGGTTGGTTGCGTCCCTTGACGTCCGTGTGGGGTGCTCTGCAGGCCTGACCCCCCAGCCCTAATCAAGATCGGCGATGATGGACGTGACCCGGGGGGGTGGGCGGAGGAGGAGGAGGAGGAGGAGGAGGAGGAGGAGGAGGAGGAGGAGGAGGGTGGAGGGATGCTGAGGAATGGCCAATTCCAGGACTGCGCAGGCGAGGATGAGTATAACATAAACGTTTTTAGAACATGGTTCACACAATTTAATCACATGTTGAATTTAATGATTGGATTGATAAAGTGTCCATTGTTAGGGCATCCACAAACAGAAACTTGTTCTCCGTCGGGGAAGCCTGTCCCAGGGCGGCTGTAAAGTTTATACCCCTACGGTGCCGCGTCAAAGCATAAACTTTTCAGCCGACCTGGGACAGGCGCCCCTGGTGACGGAAAAGTTTGTAATATACCGTTCTCTGCCCGCTGAATAACAAGCGGCACGCTTGCCCTGGCTCTTGCACCAAGAGGGACAGAAGGGTTTCGTCTGCTTCCTCCAGGAGTTTTCTTCTGTGGCCCGGGGGGAGAGGACGAGCGATGAACGAACGAACGACGACGACGGATGAAAATAATGAGGTCCGTGTTCTAGAACACAGCTGTGCAAGAGAATAACAGGCGGGCTCCAAGTGAAGTCCTAGCAGATGGGGTCGGAGGATCTCGCCGCAGCGCCGATGCCCCAGCGATGCGGCGGCGATGTGGAGCCCGAGTGTCGCCACACCAACGTCGCTGGTGCGTCGCCGCCGTCGGCAACGCATCGGCGATGGCCAGGTCTCGGGCGGGGCTGTGACGAGGGTAAACTGACTCCGGAGCGTTCTGGAACGCTCTCAGAGCGTTCCGGGACGCTCCATGAGCAGGCCAGGGCGCCCGAGACACCCTCCAGCGCCGCCGGATCTCCGAGATTCTCTCGATTTATCCTCCCTGGGTGATATCCTTCCTCGCCCCGGCTTCGTCTTGTCCTCAGGTCTTCCCCGATGCCGAGCCTTCGGGCCGGGGCCGCGCCGAAGATGCTGGAGTATTTCGAGGCCCTGGACCTGCGGCTCACTCCGCGCGTTGCCTCCGCCTGGGGGGCGGTGCGCGCGGCGGTGCTCGCCGGCGAGATAGCGCTCTTCGACGCCAGGCCCCTCCTGCCTCCTGCCTCCTGCCCCTGCCTCCTCCCTCCTCTCTCCTGCCTCCTGCCTCCTGCCTCCTGCTTCCTGCCTCCTGCCTCCTCACTCCTGCCTCCTCCCTCCTCCCTCCTGCCTCCTCCCTCCTGCCTCCGGCCTCCCTGCCTCCTCCCTCCTGCCTCCTGCCTCTTCCCTCCTCCTCCTCCGCCTCCTCCGCCTCCTCCTCCTCCGCCTCCTCCTCATTATCCTCTTCTCCTCCTCCGCCTCCTCCTCCTCCTCCCCCACGGAGCGAGGCTCGTCGAGGAGTGCACCCCCCTGGAGTCATGTGGTAAGGTGTTCGGCTACGTTGCCATATAGCGTTTGCTCTCCTTTCTAAAAAGGAGATTGGTTCTACCCCCCCCCCCCGGACTTATCGATTCCTCGGGAACCGATGCGAACACATAAGATTCTTACCCTGTGTACATCATACCTGTGACTTCGTACTATCCCAGCCAGGCCGGTATCGGTCCCCCTTCGGTTCCCTTGCAAAACGTACTATACGGTGACATTTGTTGTTCTAACACAACTTTTGTTCACGAATCCCTTGTAAACAAAAACCATGCGGGGCACACGCGCGCGGCCGCTGCGCGCATGTCGAAGTCTTTCAATAAAAAACAGTGTTTTCAGCAATTTCAACATCCCGCTTCAAGAAAACCTGTGAACACATACGACTTTCTCACCCAACAATTCTGAAACACCTGCCCGCGCGCTGATGCCGAATCCTTCCAAAACCAATGTTTTTCCAACATTCCTGCCTAGTCCAGATTCTTGGGCAACTTTTGCGCGCACGTCGATCTCAGCCAACATCGGTCGCGCGCCTGCTAGGGCCACAATCCCTGGTAAACATACCATGCGGGGCACATGCGTGCGGCTGCCGCGCGCGCAGGTCGAAATCCTTCCAAACACATTGTGGTTTCAACAATTTCAAGACCGAGCTTTTTATGAAATCACACGAATCGTACCATACATCCTCGAAGCAAATTCGCAAACAAATAAAACATTATACCCGCGCGTGCTTTCCAAATCCCCCAAAACATGTATGTTTCAACATATCTGTCACGCGAGCACGAAAGCATTCAACGTCGGTCGTACGCCTGCCAGGGCCGCAATGCCTTGTAAAAAATACCATGCGGGGCACGCGCGCGGCCGCCGCGCGCGCAGGTCGAAATCCTTCCAAACACATTGTGGTTTCAACCATTTCAAGACCGAGCTTCATGACATCACACGAATCGTATCATACTTCCTCGAACAAATGCAAGACAAATCAACGTGTCTACCCGCGCGCGCTTTCCGAACCCTAAAAAACCAATTGTTTTTTTTCAATTCTTCGGTCACGCGAAGAAGTTTTGCGCGCGCGTCGAACTCCTGTAATATCGGTCGTGCGCTTGCCACGGCCGCAATCCCTTGTAAAAAACACCATGCGGGGCTCATGCGCGCGGCCGCCGCGCGCGGATGCCGAAATCCTTGTCGTCGTCGTCGTTGGCGTCGTCGTCGCCGTCGTCGTCGTTCCCGTCGTCGTCCTCCCTGCTCCCTCGTCGTCGTCGGCGTCGTCGGCGTCCAGAAGCTCTCGACTCACGTCTTGTTCGCCGGAGCTCTCCACCCCCCGCTGGGATGTGCCCAGCGGTCAGCGCCACCGCGGCGCGTCGGTCGCGCCAAACTAGCTGGCCAGTGCGCGCACGAGCTTGCGCGGGCTAGCGCGGCCGCAGAGATGCACCAGCCAACACCATGCACTCATCGCAATCGCCGCCGCATGGGTTTTGCAAACCAGGTGAGATGTCTGCGCGAGCAGTGGGGCTCACATCTTCAAGTTCGGCAGGGTGAGTAGAATGCCGTAGAATCTTCCTCCTCCCCCACGTCCTTCTCCTCCTCCTTGTCCATGGTAAGGCTTTGGGCTGCGCGCAGACAGCCACCCCAGATAGTCCCAGCTGGCCTCAACAGGCGGCCAAGAACGCCCTAGCGCCGTCTCCGGCGGCACCCCTGAGGCGCTCCGCGCTCCAGGGCTGGGTGCTGAAACCGCCCTGGACTACTCGGGGGCCTGCCGAGGCCAGCCGGGACTACTCGGCGGGCCTGCTAAGGCCAGCTGGTGCTGCTTGAGGGTGCTGTCTGTGCGCAGCAATCAAAATGACCTCACCGTGGACAAGGAGGAGGAGGAGGAGGAGGAGGAGGAGGAGGAGGAGGAGGAGGACAGGGAAGAGAAGGCGGAGGAGGAGGGGGAAGAGGGGGAAACCCAACCAGCCAGGCCCCTCTTCCCCGCGGACCTGTTCAACAGCTCGCTGCGGCAGCTCGCCGAGCGGGAGGGCGCCGCCGCGAGCCGCGCGGTGGTCCTGTCGAACGGCTGCAGGCCCACCAGCCTCGCCGCCTTCGCGGCGCGCAACGAGGAGTTCGTCCGGCGCGGCGCGCGCACGGCGATCAGCGCAGCACGGGGCGCCGCGGTGTTCGGCGGCGGCTCGGTCAAGGCGCTCATGAGCGACTACGCCAAGGACGACGCGCAGTATCTGCAGGCCTGCGGCCCATCCTGCCGCCGCGCCGGGGCTTGCAGGTCAGGGGCCTCGCGGGGCCCTCGCGAGGGCCGTCTCGGAGCGCACGCGGCTCCGGAGAGGTCGTGCGGGAAGCGCCGTGGCACCGCGGGAGGCGTGCCAGGAACCCCAGAAGGTTTGAGAATGTGGGGTTCGAGCCCCTGAATATTCAATCCTGAGGATGGGGGACGGCGACTTCCATTCAAGAGAGGAAAGACCACCCGGACCGGACAATTTGCGTTTACTAAACGACCCTGGGCGTTTACTAAACAGCCCTGCCCTGTTCGATTCCTTTGTTGGGCGCGTTTACTGAAGACCTCGCGTGTCGGGGTGGTTATACTCGGGGTTGATTTTCTGCCCTCTATTCATGGGCCTGTGACTCTTGAGCCCATGTCCATTGCTGTGATAAGGGGCAAGGCCACCAGGACGCATACCTCTCTCCACGCAGCGGCGCTCCAACTCGTGCCTTGTGGCACGGTGGCGGATTGCTCTGTGGGGTACATCAACAGCAAGCCTGGGTGAAGCTCGAACCAGTCGTGGCCCACGGTGCTCCTGGCTTTTCGCGCCGGCGTAGGGGCCTCTGGGGCCCCCCCCTGGGCCTCGCGAGGGGTGCCCTGGAAGCCATCTGCGCCTCCCCGGGAACGCTGAGGCCACCCAGGGGCCGGGACCACTTCCAGCGGCACCCAAGCGAGCGCCTGAGCAACCTGCAGGCGAGGCTCCCGGACCTGGTCCGGAGCCTCGGCCTGGAGCATGAGGTGCTGCGGCAGCAGAGCTTCCTGTGGATGGGGCCGGTGCGGGGGGGATTCCACTACGACGAGGAGCCGAATGTCTACCTCCAGGCTTCGAGGGAAGAAAATGGCCACCCCAGCCCCGAGAAGTGGCGTTTGCGAACCAGCGCTGGGCGCTTGCTGAACAGCCCTTCCTTTGCTTGGGTCAACGCAACATCACCCTCGTGTGAGCTCGCGTGCGGGCCGTTCGCATCGTGAGCCAAGAGCAATGGCATAGCGAGGCAGATCCGGAATCCCAGTCGAGAAAACTACTGAACAGCATTTCCCTCTTCGATTCCTCCCTTGGGTGCGTTTCCTTGATTGCTTCGCCTGTCGGGGTGCTTATTCTGAGAGTGTATTGTGAAGGCCTTATGGCCAGTGCCGCCGACCCAGAAGGACGACGACGACCACCACCACGACGACGACCACGACGACAACGACAACGACGAATTGATGACCCTGCCACAGGCTCGGGACATAGGGCGGGCGGTGGAGGGAGAGGAGGAGGAGGAGGAGGAGGAGGAGGAGGGGGAGGAGGAGGAGGAGGAGGAGGAGGAGGCAGAGGAGGAGGAGGCGGAGGACGAAGAGGAGGGATGAGAGAGGAGTAGGGAGGACCAGGCCGGAGGATGGAGGCTTTTTTGACTAGACTTAGCTCGTTGCAAGTTAGCTTGAGCGCAGCGGCCAACAGGACTGGCACAGGCTGCACACGAGAAGCCCGAGAGCATGGACGCTGAGCTGCTTCCGCTCTCGTCCCGAAAACTGTCGGGAGAGAGGTATTGGCGCTGCGGGAGGGGAAGAGAGGAATCATATAAGAGAGAGGAGGAGTTTGCAGCGCCGTGCGAAGAGAGACATCAGCGGGGCCCTGCTTCGTTGCCCATAGCAGGGCAGCCCTCGAGGCAGAGAGCAGTGCAGGGCTAGAAAAGAAGTATCTGGCCTGGGAATGCCTACCCAAATTAAGTAGACCGTGAGTAGAAAGGAGGAGCTGGACGGAGGGCCAAAATGGCCGTGGGCGGTCGAACCGCCTTGTTGCTGCTGAGCAGCGCGCTGGGGGAGGGAGGAGGGAGGAGGGATAATCAAGGAGGAGGATGGAGGGGGTCCACTGAAGATACCGCGGAGCTCTTGAGATGAGAGCTGCAAGCCTTGCCCTGTGTGACTGATGGCGGAAAAACTAAGTGCGAGTTGAGGGAAGAAACTGCTGGCCGTACGTTCGTGCCGTACTCTCCCGTGTGATCCGCCCCCTTAGGGGGCAGGCCCGTCTTTGAGGAGAGCACGGTCGCTGCCCAGAGTGCGCCACCATTGCATCGCACGTCGATGTCTGCATGCACTGCCTGAAGAAGCATCCCGAACTGCAAGCGCGAGGTAAGATTGCCTGGGAAAACGAGCGGGACTCTGAGGCCGCTGCTGACGCGGGGGTGAGCAGCTGGCGTGCACCTCGGTGGGTGTCCCAGGTGGCTGTATTGTGAACCGGGCAATTGTAAGGTGAAACGAGGGATGAACAATAGCAATGTGAAGCAATGACAACGTACGTGAGAAAAAGTGCAACATCGCAAGCGCTGCCTGGGAGGAGGGACCGGACAATCGTAGGCCATGAGAGGAGGAGAGAGAGGACGAGCACATCGGGTCCCTCACGCCCGCCCACCCCGTTGAACGGGGTCGAGGGTACGCCCAGGGACCAGACGAACCCGTCCAGCAGCCTGAAAAAGGCCGGCTGCTAGGTGGAGGGGGGCCAATCAACTTTTGTCAGGTGAACAAGCGGCTCGGAGTAGGCTGCGCATGAACACCCCAGACATGGCCCCCCCCCTCAAAAAGAGCGAAGCGTCAGTCTCCAGGGCCGCCTCGAGCAAGCAGTGCCCTGGCAGGGTGCACGAGGCCTCGAGTCTCGAGGAGCACCGCTGCAAGCACTTGTGCGCTGTGGCCTGCTGCTTCAGGCCGGTTGGCGAGGTTGCGCAGCGCGGGACTGTAGCCGCGCTGCCGCGCGACTGTGACTGCGTCAAGAGGCGGCGCCTGCCGGGCGGCCGCTACGACGGGCCGAAAAAGCCCAAAAGACTGGCCATCTCTGAAGTGTGTGTGGCCTGGAGCCACAGCAGGGCTGTGGGGCAAAAAAGAGGGCGCTACAGCTTGAAGTGGAGCTCCTGCGGCTGGCTGAACTCCTGCTGCGTGTACTCCTGCGGCGGCAGGGGGCCGGGCTGGTACATCTGCTGGTACCCCTGCTGCTGGTACTCCTGCGGCTGCAGGGGACCGGATTGGCTGCACCCCTGCTGCAAGAACTCCGCCTGCTGGTACACCCGCTGCTGGTACTCCTGCAGCGGCAGGGGACCGGACTGAAACTCCTCCAGCTGGAACTCCTGCTTCTGGAACTTCTGCGGCTGCAGGGGAACGGACTGGCTGCACTTCTGCTGCAAGAACTCCGCCTGCTGGTACGCCAGCTGCAGATACTCCAGCGGCGGCAGGGGACCGGTCTGGCTGTACACCTGCTGCTGGTACCCCTCCTGCGTGTACTCCGGCTGCTGGTACTCCTGAGGCTGGAACTCCTGCGGTTGGCTGGGCAAAAACTTGTTGGACGCTGGCTGGCTCCGCCCGCGGTGGACGAAGGGCTGTGGCCAGCGCCGCCCCCAGCCGGGAGGGACAACCTCCACGATGCCGCCCGAGCTCGTCGAAGCAGCGAAGGAGCACCTGCACGGCTCGGCCTTCGGCCCGCAGGCGTTGGGCACGTCGCTCCGGTGCAGCACGCCGTGGGCGCGGGGCCGCCCGCCAGGGAGGCACGGACATGGCGCGGTCTGAGTGGAAGGGGAAAGGGGCGAAGAGGGGGAGGGCAGAGGCGGGAAGCCTCCTGGCTTGGGCTCGCGACCTCCGGCGGAGGCGATCTGAGCCCGGGCTGGAGGATGGAGGAGAAGGGAGGGGGAGAAGGAGGAGGGTGTTTATTCTGAGGGTGTGTGTGGGTGTTTCTGCTCTCGAAGGTCTCTGGCGAGAGCGACGTGCTGCTCGTCCACCCAGACTACGTGCGGGCGTTCTCGGCGGGCCTTCGGAGCCGGCAGCCGCCGAGCTTGGCGGACCTCGCGAGGGATCCGTTCCTGAGGCAGATCCCCAGACGGGCCCAGAATCGAGATACATCCTCTCCAGGGTCGGGGGCGGCCAAGAAGGGGGGTGATGACTAGGAAGACGGGAGGTGGATATCATGGCGGGGGCCATGATATTCACCTCTCGAATCTTGAATGTTGCGGTCCGCTCCCATCTTCTCCCTCAGAATTATTTTATATTTTAAAAAAATCATGGCGGGGGCCATGACGTCTCCCCGTATTTCACGGCGGCTCTCCTCTTTGCCCGCCGTCCCGCGGGCCCCCCCCCCCCCGGACAGCACACGGGCCGCCGGCCATGATTTGCGCCCCACCCCCCTCCTGGGCGCACCCCTCTTGGACGCCCCGACAGCGCTCCCTCCCTCCCGCCCTCCGTCACTCCGTCCCTCCCGCCCTCCCTCCCTCCCTCCCTCCTCCTCCCCCTCCTCCTCCTCCTCCTCCTCCTCCTCCTCCTCCTCCTCCTCCTCCTCCTCGTTGCCCTCCTCCTCCTCCTCCTCTCTCCTGACATTGTCACGTAGTCATGCTCATGCTCATGCTCCTTCTCCTCCTCCTCCTCCTCCTCCTCCTCTTCCTCCTCCTCCTCCTCCTCCTCCTCCTCCTCCTCCTCCTCCTCCTTCTCCTCCTCCTCCTCCTCCTCCTCCTCCCCCCCCACGCGGCGCCCGTTGCATCCTGGGTGAGGGCGTTTTCGGTGGGCCTCCGGAGCCGACAGCCGCCGAGCCTGGCGGACCTCGCGAGCGATCCGTTCTCTGAGGTCGCCATGGGGGGAACGGGGAGGTGGTGGAGGAGGAGGAGGAGGAGGAGGAGGAGGAAGAGGAGGAGGAGTGGAGTGGAACCCGTTGCGATGCAAGTTCGGTTTGACTTAGCCTGGCTCGAGCGAGCAGACTGCCCGGCTCGGCTCAGGACCTTGGGCCGCAACCCCCGACGGATCCTGTCGAGAAGCTCCCCTCCATGCTTGGACATCCTAAGTTTGAGTTTGCAGAGCGCTCATGGTGCGAGTGGAGACTCTTTGGCCTCTCGTGGTGTTCGTCGTCGTCGCCCTTCTGATCGCCTGTTTTGTGTTGGTTCCGTTTGTGCGGGGCTAGCTTTGGCGATCCGTCACTAGTAGTTCAAGGCTTCGTTTGCCGCGGGAAAAAAGTTAGCAGGGCGCCTTTCAAGAGCGACACGCCTCATCAGGTCCTGAGGCCTTTCGCCGCCCTGGGCTGCCCTGGGCCCCCCACGGGCCACGGGGGCTGTCAGAGAACGACCTGCCGGAGAAATAGCTCGTCCCCGGGGAAGGCCCAGGGTCCAGGACCCGTTTCCCTGAGGACGTGCTTTCCTTCAAATCGGGCGTGTCCCTCTACAGGAGGAGTATGCAAACAAAGCAAAACAAGTCATCGGGGGATGATTTTTCTTCTATGTTTGACTATTTTTGAGTTTTTTTGTTTGGGGGACTTTTTTTTACTTTCGCCCCAAACCCGCCTGTAGGAGAACATGCCCGGCCTGATTTGTTCTCGATGGTCCCGCCTATCCTGCATGGTGGCTGAGTTCGTCTAACGTTGCCCCGTTTCGTTTTGCTCGCCAGCGCAGTCCCTCTGCCTAGCCGCCGACGCAAAAAAAACATTGTTTTCCCGATGCTGATGAGGCAGATCCCCCATGCGAGCGACCCGCTTCTGATCGGAAGACAAAACTGCATTAGTGTAAACTGTTGGCAGTCCGCGCGGATTTCTTGGATCTGCGCTGGACCCCCCTGGCGGCGCCTCCAGCGCCGCCCCTGCCGCGCTCCGCGCGCCTGGGAGGGGGGTCCAGCGCAGATCCAAGAAATCCGCGCGGACAGTCAAAAGTTTATGTTCCTGCCGTTGTGTTGCTCCTCTACCTGAGGCAGATCCCCACGCACTTCTTCCACATGAGGCCTGGGGACGCCGTGACCTTTCCCGGGGGTACCTACCACATGGTCATGGCTCAGACGTTCGATCGTCTGGCCCTGAACTTCTTCTTCATGCCGAAGTGGCGGAAGCTGGAGGTCCTCGACCACGACTGGTACTCCTCCGAGCGGAGGGGGCCTCTGGGCGACGAGCGGCTGGCGCTGCGGCAGCTCTGGGCCAGGACACTAGTGCGGCTGTACGAGGACACAGGGAAGGCTGTCATCTACATGGGGGAAAAGAACGAGTACCTTTGAGGGCAAACGATCGCTCGAAGAAAAAACATGAGCATCAGCAATAACTTTCGGAGGTCCGGGCGGATTTCTTGGATCGGCGCTGGACGCCCACTGTCGCGCGGAGCGCGCCAGGGGCGGCGCCAGAGGCGCCCCTGGGCGGGGGCCCGGCGCCGATCCAAGAACTCCGCTCGGAGCTCCGAAAGTTTTGATCGCGGAGGTCGATTTCCTGTCCGGCAGCAGCGGCATCCCAGTCGCGCCTGCGGTAGGTTCGCGTCGTGTCGACCAGCGGCGACCCCGCCGCGGGCGTGCAAGGTTGAACGCCACCCGTGGCCCAGAGTCGGCCCGATGTGGAGCGATCGGGCGATCGGCACGCCGCCGATCGTTCCAGGCTGAACGATCCAGCTCAGGAGGGAAAGAAACACACAGACACAATTAATCGTCGATTCCCCCGAAAAGAAGGGAACATATGGGAAGCGGGGGGGAAGGCAAAAACACAGAAAGCATCGAAAATATGGTGAATCCTGTTATTTGTCTGTATTTATTTGTGTGTCCCTGGGCCCGTGGACCAACCCGGTGCCAGGAACCAACGCTGGGGTCGACACGGCGGGAACCTGAAGTCGGGCATGTCCCTCTACAGGAGAGATACTCAAAAGTAGTATCAGAAAAGAAGTCTGGGGACGATCTCTGGGCTGTTTGCGATGTCATGTGATTCTTTCGGGGCTCTTTTTGGTTCCTCTCCTAAAATCCGCCTGTAGGGAACCTGACGGACCTCCTCCTCCTCCTCCTCCTCCTCCTTTTCCTCCTCCTCCTCCACAATTACTCAATATGAACATACTCTCCTTCTTCCCCTGATGGCGGTTGGGTGATCGCCGACCCCCCCGCGTATTGTTTTTTTACACACGGGATTCCCGGGAAACGGGTTTTCGCCTGCGTTTTTCCAAAATGCTGCTCTCGCTGAGGCGTCGGCCTCATTTCTGCTCCCGAATCGTTCCGAATCGTGCTCCCGCTGCAGCGTGAGCCTCCTTTTCGGATCGGTGTTTGGCCTCCGTCGTTCAGGATGGCGTTCTCGCCCCAGCGCGGGCCTCTTTCTCGCGCGCCCATCCGCCCGCCACCACTGCGCCGCACCACCACCACCACCACCACCACCACCACCACCACCACCACCACCACCACCACCAGCACCACCACCAGCACCACACCGCCACCACCACCACACCACCACCACCACCACCACCACCACCACCACCACCACCACCACCACCACCACCACCACCACAACCACGCACACACGCACGCACGCACGCACGCGCACCACCACCCACTACGCACGCGCGCGCGGAGCCACAGGTCCGCTACGACACGCGTCCGCGGATAGAGAAAATCAGCGCCATGGAAAGGGATGGGAGGGAGGGGTAGGACGTCAGATATGACGCGAGCGCACCTAGCTTGTCCTCCTCCCCCTCCCTCCCCCCCTCCCCCTCCCTCCTCCATCTTCCCTCATCCTGGGGCGTGCCCGACCCGACGGGAGCCTGCGGTGCCCTGGCGCGGAGCCGCCTGCCGCCGCCGGGCGCCGAGCGCCGAGGCACCGCGGCCGGAGGCCCAGCGGCGGGTCGGGGCGCTTTTGCGAGCCGTGGAGCGCGCTTGTCCACCAACCCTGATGCTCTTGGCCCTCCTAACTTGGGTTCCTTCCTTCCTTCCTTCCTTCCATCCTTCTTCTCCTCCTCCTCCTCCTCCTCCCCCTCCTCCTCCTCCTCCTCCTCTCTCCTCTCCCCTCCCAAAGGGTTACCCCACGCTCCAGCGCTGCGGGAGCGGGCGCGGGTCAGGGCCGCTCAGCGACGCGGCGCGGTCGAACACAAGGATTAGGTCGGGCATGTCCCCCTACAGTAAAATCGGGCATGTCCCTCTGCAGCTCCACGGGAGGAATGCCCAAACGTATTCTAAGAAATGGAACGGGGACGGTTTTCCGATTTTTGTTGGACTATCGATCTGGTATTTGTGACAAGTTGTTCCATGTTCCTCCAAAATCCGCCTGTAGGAGGACACGCCCGACCTAACCCTACAGGCGGATTTTGGACGAAACATAGAAAGTGTAGTCAAGTGCGCACCGAACAAATGCCAAACATATCGAGCAAATCGTCCCCAGAGTATTGTTATTCTTCAACTAAAAACTACGTTTGATTTTTCCCCCTGTACAAGGACGTGCCCGACCTAACAAGGATCCAGGCACGGCGCCAGTAGTATCAGAGGAGGGCGGATTGAGACAGCGATAGTGGGCCTTTTGTGGGGAGGCCCCATCGTCACGGGCTGGACGCAGCCCGGAAAACTGGTGCGCTCGGGCCTCCCCCCCCCCGGGAGGGGTCCGGGGATCGATTTTGAGCTGCCGTTGGCTCCATTGGCCCTGTTCCAAGGTTATTGGCCTTCTTTCTCTCATTCTGTCTCTCTGTCTCTCTTTCTCTCTCTTTCGTTCTTCTCCAAAGCGACGTATCGCAACGCAGCTGAGGGCGACGTGATTCAAGCATTGCGAATCGGATCAGCTGCAGCGCAACGCAATTCAGGAATACTAGCCAAAGCAAGGTCCAGCAAAGCGAAGTAATGCAAAGCAAAGCTAGCAGTAACCTGCACATTACGCAAAGCCATTGCACAACAAAGCAGGGCAATACGTGGCGCTGCGATTGAAAGCACAGCAGTGCTAACCAAAGCGGTGCTCTACCATATAACCCAATGAAACGAAGTGTAATGTACACCCACCAGGTTAAGTCTTTGAATGCAAACCAAAACAATGTAACGCAGCACTTGCAGTGCAATCCAGAGTAAGCCAGTGCAGCGGTGCAAAGCCGTGAAGATCAAACCACGCAAAGCGACACATCGCAAGTGCGATGTCAGACGCAGCGGTGCAAGCCACCGCCATCGACACAAGGAATTTCACAGCAGGGCGACGCAGTATCAAGGATTACGCAAAGCAATGCAACACAACGCGGTGCATAACAATGTATCACAAAGCAAGTCAATACAATTGGTGGTAGGACACTGAAATGGTACAAGGCAGTGCAGAGCACAGCACCGCCAGGCAGCCCAAGTCTTCCTCCAGCAGTGCAAAGCCAGCGATATGCCGAAGACTCCCGAGGACCTTTCAGGACCCCCCCTCGAGAGTGGGGAGGAAGCTTCTGGAGATCCCCCCGAGGAAACCCTGGAGCACCCCCCCTGGGCCTCAGGAATGGATAGGTTCCGGGAAACGTAAGACTCGAGTAAGCCGGAACTCGGGTTTGCCGACGCTTTTTGACGAGCGCGTTCTGGATTTTGACGGTCCGGTTTTCGTGGGATGTTTGCAGCGGGGGCTCGCGTCAAATTTCAGATGGGGCCTCGTCCTTTTCACGATGGCCCCGTCGGGCCAACCCGAGTCCCCCGTACCCGAGTCTTACGTCTCCCCGATAGGTGTACGGGCCTGTCGAGAAGTATCTTAGTACAGATGGGCACTCTCTGCCCACGTGTATTGAACGATTCACGCTCCGTTCGGTGTTGACGATGGTCTGGTTCAAGAGTGTTGTCAGGTGACCACGCGCACGTTTCCACACGAATTGAAGTTGAACGTTTGCTTCCCGATTCGCTCAACGTCGGGACACACATCGATTACACGCGGCGACGTTGGTACGGCCAGCTGTACTAGGTCCTAGTACAGCTGGCCGTAGCATTTGCTGCGCAAGGTCTGCGGCAAAATTTTGTTTGCGCAAGAAGTCTCTGTGCGATATTGGCGGTGACCCCGGGTTGGTCCACGAAAGTGCAGACCGTGTACCTTTTAGGGGGAGGCCTAGGGACAAGCGGGAGCCGTTGGGACGGGACTACAAGTGCCCACCGTGCCACGCCTCTGAGTGAGGCCAAGGTTGAAACGAATGATTGGGATTGGATTACAACTACCCCTGGCGCCAGAGCTCAGCCGAGAGCCAAATATGTTTGGAACAGGGCTACGGGGATGGCCACCAGCAACCCTGGCAGGCTTTCTTGAGAATGCGGGCAGGACTGAGACGACTGGAGCCACCCACAAAGGAAGACGGAGGGCAGGGTGAGGAAGATAAGGACGTCACTCACTGTTCCTTACCCATCCCTCATCCTCTTGCCCCCATGTCCCACTAATCATTCCTCCATCATCCTTCCCCCTGTCTCGCCCTCTCTGTTCCCCTGTCCCTTTTGTTGCTTTGTGTGTTTGCTCTCTCTCGCTCTCTCTCTCTCTCTCTTCTCTTTCTTCTCTCGCATCATCCGCAACGAAATGCGTATTCCGACCCCTGCCCGGGGGGGAACATCTCGCAAGTTGCGCACCGGTTGCTTGGAGGCGCGCGCGCGCGCCCTCGGCTCAAACGCTGGCGCACCTCGTTTGGGCAGACTGCAGCTCGCCAAACTAATTGGTTTGCTTGCTTGGGGCTAGGGCTCGTTATTCTGCTGGGGGGCGCGTGGCAGGAACGCTTGCGCCACTGCGCGATTGCGGGCATGGCGGGCGACGTTTATCGAGGTCGGGGATAACTATTGTTGTTTCGCGCGAGGCTTCCTGGGAGCGCGCGAGGGCGCGACGTGTCTCGACGCGTGGGCGGTCACAGGTCTGTGGGCTCCAGGGGTCTGACGGCTTGGGGATAATGTTGTTACTTCCCATGGGTCTGAGAAAGTTATCCCCAAACCGTTGGGGGCACATCAGCTCGGGGGTAGGTTCAGACAGTTTGGGAGGTCCCCATCTCGGCGGCTTTCCCCTGGAAGGTTGCTGCGCGGGTTGATCTCCCCCCGTTGGATTAGCCCGATCGTTCATTTTCTGTGGTCTTCGCCTGTGCGGCAACTGTTCCAAAGTTCGGTGGACGAGTCCTTTCGCCCAATGTGTCTGTCAGTTATTTGCAACGCGCGCGCCAATGCATTGTTTCTTGGATGAAGCGATCTCGCATTGCCAGATTTCGGCAGCAATATTGATGGAGCAGCTTTGCCCTCGCAGCGTAAAGCAATCCTATCCTCGGTGGGCGACAAGCAACCCTGGACAAGGCTTGGGG